CCCACATCGATACCCACCGCCCGCTTCCTCACCTCCCTGCACCCCGCTCCTCTCCGCTTAGCCCCCGCGGCCCCACCGAGAGGGCTCATCGCGACGCCCAGCATCTCTGGAGAGGCACTTTCCCGTCATCTCACTCAGAGACTCAGCGCTCAGCTCAGTGTCCCCTCTCTCTTGAAACCTCCCCTCCAGGATTCAGGACACTGACCGCACTTTCCTAATTTTCTGTTTGTTCCACGGGCTGCCCCTTCTTGGTGGCCTCTGGCAGGTCTCCCTCTGCCTGACCTGGGAAGCTGGGGGTTCCTCCTGGTCCTCTCCACCCTCTGACCCCTCTCTGAGTGCTGTCACCCAACGTTAAACAGTAGCAATAAACTCCTCCTCCCAGGTGGGCTATCCCCACGCAGGCCTCTCCCCTGAGCTCCAGGCTCCTGTACCACGACCCGACGCCGTGACCTTCCCACCCCCAAAACTGTGCCTGCCCGAAGCTGAACCATGAATAAATGGCAAGAGAAAGCTTGGGAATTCGTTCACTCATTCAACAAATATCTGCTGAATACTTGTGTGTGCAGCGTGTTGGCGATACGGTGTTCAGCGGACATACACATGGTCTGTCTCCAAGGAGGCTAGGGAGTGAGGTGAAAGAAAACACACACACACGCATGCACACACACACGCACACATGCATGTACACACGCACACACATGCGCGCACTAAAGGACGGGTGCGTGGGATCTGAGGAGAACTGAACCTGTGCAGTGTTCAGGGCGGCCTGGGAAGGCTTTTCTGAGAGAGGGGCTGAGATCGGGGTGAGTGAGAGTTAACCAGGCGAGAGGGGAGAGAAGAGCAATCCGAGCAGAGGAGACAGCACGTGCAGAGGTCCTGGGGCCGCGAGGAGAAAGGGATATGGACCACTTGTCAGGCCTGAGAGCATGCTGGAGTGAGGGGGGGTAGATGAAGGTGTGAAGCAAGGCAGGAGAGGCAGGCTGGAGCCGGACATGGCCAGGGGTTCCCCCGATTCCATCATTCCCCAGACAAATGGGTCCTGTGGATTTTATTTTCCAAACCCAGTTGGTCTCAACTCACCCTCTTCTCCCGCCTGCCACTGCTACCTCCCTAGTCCAAGCTGCTATTGTCTCTCTCCTGGATTATTGACATTTCCCCTTAATGAGTCTCTTTGTTGCCCTTCTTCCCCTCCTCCCCTCCCCCCTTCCTTTTCCCAACAAGATTCTCCACACTGAGGCCACAGTGATCATTTTAAAACCTCAAACTTGACGTCACTGTCCCGCCTTCAAATCCGCCACTCTCCCCTGCACTTAGATACGTTCAAATTCTTCCCAAGACTGAAACCCAAGCCCGGGACTTACAAGAATAAAGAATGGAATAGAAAGCAACCTTATCAACCAGCAAAAAAGAAGACAAAATGTTAGACTTGAAAAAAATAAAACATCTGCCACACAGAAAATGGACAAAGGGTTAAGGTTACCAACTTTTACAAACGGACGATAAAAAGAGCCCCAAAGAAACACGTACAAACGATCTACCCAGGCAATGCTCAGAACAGATTTAAATACCTTATATGACAAGATGCTCACATACACTAGGAAATGAAAATTAAAGTAAGGAGGAGATATTACTAGGTAGCCATAAAATCAGTCAATTTAATGTTTAAAATCAGTGTGCCCTTCGGCCTGGCAAGATCATTCCTGGGTGTCCACCGGCGGAAATAAAAGCACTCATGTGTAGGGAGATGGACTGGGCCAATGGGCTGCACTGGGATCAAAGGCAACGAGGGGAATGACTTAGGGGATGGTTAGTAAGTCACGGAACCATCGCCACACGCTGGCCGCGGACCACCAGGACGGAGCAGGCTCTACCTGTGGACCTGCAGGGGGGCGTGAGGGGCCCCGCCAGCACGGGCCCGAGGAGCGAGCGTCCTGAGCCGCCCGCCCGTCGGCTTTGCTTTTCTCAGACTGTTTTCTACAAGCGATGCTCACAGGCGGGGGTCTGACTGAGGCCACGATGGCCAAAAAGCCTCGGGGCGGTTTCGGAAAGCCTTAACCTACTTTCAAGGGACATCTGAACGCATCCTCGTGGAAATTCACCGCAACCGAGCCCCACCGCGGGCCCCGAGCGCGAGCCGAGCGGACCCCACCTTGGCGAAGGCGTCCCGGCCGTAGCTCGCCTCCTGCTCCGTGTGCTGCTTGTCGATGACGTCGCGCCCCGTGGCCACAGTCCGGTAGAGAAGGGCCTTCTCCACCATGTCCGTCTTGGTGGAGAGCAATTCTGCGATGATGGACACAACCTTGCCGTTCTCAATAAGGGGCGTGTCTCCATCCACCACAAATTTTAAATTTCCCTGGACCAAGAGCGAAGAAACAATGAGGTTCTGAAACATCGCGTCGTTTATATAATTATGGTACATTTATCTAATTCAAAGGGACTCTGTAGCACCTATTTTCCTAAATATGTTACATATAAAAACCTAGTGCATTTCATGCATTATTTTTTTCTTCTCCAGACACCCACCTCTTTTCATTTTCAGTCTATGTTTTGGATGGGTAGATGTTTTATATTTTTATGTAGTCAAGTCTATGAATCTTTTGCTTATGCATCTTTCTTGGGTGTCATACTCAGACCATCTGTGCTCCAAAGATTTTATAAGTTTTTAATATTTTCTTCTAATAGTTGTACAGTTTTTTCTTACATTTAAGCTTTTAGTCCACCCAGAATTTGTTTGTACGTGGTGTAAAGAATCTTATTTTTCCTGATGGTTGGTTAGTTGCTCCAACTCTATTTACTGACTAGTTTAGCTTTCTGTCCTGATTTGAAATGTTACCTCTATTATATATTAAATTCCCCCCAGATTTTTAGTTTATTTATATTCCATTCATTCAATAAACACTAACCATCAACCGAGTGTCCAGCACTAACCCAAGTGTCCAGCACATCAGTTAACCTGGTGCTTAACCTGGTGCTGAATTTTGCAACAAGTTTTAAGGTATTGTAGCTTTTATCGTCATTTAAAATCTGGTAAAAATTAGTCATGTCTCCTCTCCTCCCTTTCCCCTACCCTACTAGTCTTCTTTAATACATTTTATTTGATCTGCCTACATGTTTATTGTTCAAGGTAAATTCTAGAATCATTATGTCCCTTTAAAAACAAAATTTCTATTTGGATCCTAAAGGAGACTGTTATACTATATTTATAAACATTTATGTCAGATCTCATTTATATTGCTATGTGATATTTTTATGTGGTCCAGATTCATTTAGAGTTAAATCTTGCAACAGTAAAGTGAAAGGTCATTTTTATTCCATATTTGAATTCATGTTGTCACTCATTTATTGTAAGGTTACATGTTCATTATATGTTAAACATGTCCAATTATATAGATAGTAATAAAGGAAATGTGACACACGGCTCTTCCCTTCTGGGTTTGGTGAAGTGCAGGGAAAACACCTGGACCGTGACTTGGCCAGCGTGGTCCATGGTGCTGGCGGCCACAGGCTCTGTGCCTCTGGGCCAGTCATGCCACCCTGTAGGGCTCATTTCCCCACGTGCAAAATAAGACGATTAAAACCCCAGTCCTAAGCATCTATGATTCCGCTGTTTCAAACGCTGTCAGAGATCTATTCTGTTCAAAGGATTTTAGTTTACACTGTTGGTAGTGACATCCTTGCTGAATTCTTTCATTCTCGAAATAAACCAGTTCAAAGTCGGACATACCAGTTAAGATAATTAAGTAAAGCCACAGCCTCAAAACCTGATGTGGCTTGGAAAATCCCTCCTGATATTATAATACGATGGAGAAAACGACTGATAAGAGTAATTTCTTCAAACTGTAAGAAGTTTTCTCGACATAAATTACTTTTTAAACCTACAGGGGAAAACCCCTCAAGATCTTCTGAAAGAACATCCTGGGTCCTCCACAAGGAGGCAGCAGATTCCGAGAAGCTCCCCACTCACCAAGTGAAGAATTGTAGCCAAAATTTTATACACTGTCTGAATCTCCTCAGGCTTGAAGCCAATGACTTTCATGGCATCAGCTACTACTTTGAATTCTGCAGCATCATTGATAGAGGACTAGAAATGAAAATGGAAAAGTCAAGTCACACGCATTTCCTATGAACGTTAAAATAATTACGAGACTAGACTCAAGTTCAGTCAAGGTCTTGAGGCTTCTGCAGCAAGTCACTGAGCATCCGGAGAAAATAAAAATGATCTCCAGGGTAGAGACGTCCTTCGGCACACACAACGCCCACTTGCGTGTGAGAGCCACTGTCACCCAAAATAAGCACCCCGGACTTTCCTGGGACCCTCAGCGAGGGGAGCAAGTCCTGGGCTGACTCAGAGCCGCTCGTCGACAAGGGAAGGAAGCAACGTGGGACGTGAGCTCGCAAGGGGAAACACAGCCTGTGGCAGCCTCCGAGGCACATGCCTGGCTATTGTCACCTGTGGCCTTTTTTGTTCCACAATTCGCCTTTTATTTAATTATTTATTGACTGACTCTTGAAAGAGAGGGGCGGGGAAGGGAGGGGCAGCCACGGCCATGGGATGCCACTCTGGTAAGACACGTGGTTCCCGCCGCTTACAAAGGGACACGAGCCAGGACTCTGCCTGTGACTCCTGGAGCTGCTGCCGCCACTGTGGGACCACGAGGAAGGTCAGCCGAGGCAGACGAGCCAAGTCCAGGGAGGATGGTGGAGGTGTAAGTTGGAGAAACAAAAACTTCTGCATCCCAATCAGTATTGATAAGGCACCGAATTCATCAACGCTGAAACTGCCCCGTTTCAGGGCTCTTGTCATGTGAGAGAATTAAGTCCCTTATTGTTTTTGGAGACGTTTGAGTCTTATCTTACTGGAAACCCCAAATACCTAAATTTTACATGGTCCCTGTATTTTAGGATAGTTAGGTAAAATTATAATACATAGAGTGTAATGCTTGATAGTTATTAAAATAATTTGATTAATTTATATTTGTTAACATGAAAAGATATTAATAACTGTGTTGTAATATAATAAAAGCAGGTTTACTGAATCAGGATTTATTGTATGAATCCATTTATAAATATATACACACATACATTGTTATCAATAGTTATTTCTGGATGATAAGCTTTAGCACATTTTTGTTTCCTTTAGGTTAATCTTTATTTTAAGCATAGACTATGACCATGTAATATTTCCTTGTTTTTATTAGAGAGGAAGGAAAAAAGGGTAGGAGGAGAGTAAGAATGGAAAACTTTGATGAAAAGGGAACCTAAGCTAAATTTAGCTTAGAGAGAAGGTTAAATATTCATTTAATTCTTGCTTTCTATGGAGGCTCTATATGACCTGGACAAAAGTAAGTTGGTCAATAAGACAATCTGATAAAAAGGAATGTTTCTAGTCACTGGCTTTCTAAGTGTTGATTTTACAATCCTTTCTACATCTTTAGTACTTCTGGCCCATCTCAGAAGGCTGGAGTGCTGCCCTCTAATGTTTTGTTTGTTTTCAATTAATTTTTAGCAAATATCCTGCTCTCAGATAATTGTTTAAAAAAAAAAAAAGAATCATGCAACTTAAATGCAAACNAGAGAGGGGCGGGGAAGGGAGGGGCAGCCACGGCCATGGGATGCCACTCTGGTAAGACACGTGGTTCCCGCCGCTTACAAAGGGACACGAGCCAGGACTCTGCCTGTGACTCCTGGAGCTGCTGCCGCCACTGTGGGACCACGAGGAAGGTCAGCCGAGGCAGACGAGCCAAGTCCAGGGAGGATGGTGGAGGTGTAAGTTGGAGAAACAAAAACTTCTGCATCCCAATCAGTATTGATAAGGCACCGAATTCATCAACGCTGAAACTGCCCCGTTTCAGGGCTCTTGTCATGTGAGAGAATTAAGTCCCTTATTGTTTTTGGAGACGTTTGAGTCTTATCTTACTGGAAACCCCAAATACCTAAATTTTACATGGTCCCTGTATTTTAGGATAGTTAGGTAAAATTATAATACATAGAGTGTAATGCTTGATAGTTATTAAAATAATTTGATTAATTTATATTTGTTAACATGAAAAGATATTAATAACTGTGTTGTAATATAATAAAAGCAGGTTTACTGAATCAGGATTTATTGTATGAATCCATTTATAAATATATACACACATACATTGTTATCAATAGTTATTTCTGGATGATAAGCTTTAGCACATTTTTGTTTCCTTTAGGTTAATCTTTATTTTAAGCATAGACTATGACCATGTAATATTTCCTTGTTTTTATTAGAGAGGAAGGAAAAAAGGGTAGGAGGAGAGTAAGAATGGAAAACTTTGATGAAAAGGGAACCTAAGCTAAATTTAGCTTAGAGAGAAGGTTAAATATTCATTTAATTCTTGCTTTCTATGGAGGCTCTATATGACCTGGACAAAAGTAAGTTGGTCAATAAGACAATCTGATAAAAAGGAATGTTTCTAGTCACTGGCTTTCTAAGTGTTGATTTTACAATCCTTTCTACATCTTTAGTACTTCTGGCCCATCTCAGAAGGCTGGAGTGCTGCCCTCTAATGTTTTGTTTGTTTTCAATTAATTTTTAGCAAATATCCTGCTCTCAGATAATTGTTTAAAAAAAAAAAAAGAATCATGCAACTTAAATGCAAACAATGGAAAATTAATTGCAAAATCCTAAATATAATTTATTTCTGTGCATGGCTATAAAAATACAGGTAAACCAGTAATGCAGGTATCATTAGCTTAAGGTGAGTAACAATTTTAAAATAAAAAGAACACTTCCCACATCTTAGATCCTTTCCTTTTATGAATTCTTTTATTGCCCCCAACTACAACAGCAATACACTTTTAATTATAGAAGACAATGAAAATATGGGAAAGCAGAACACAAATATTTGTAATCTCATCAATCCAGAATAAACAATTAAAATGTTGGTCTATTTCCCTCTATAGCTTATTTTATGCATTTGTATACAGTACTTTCCCCCAACAGGGTAGGATAATACTGTGAATACTGTTTCATAGCCTACCATCAACAAACTGTTACTAGGGTGAGCTGAAAAATGGCTAGCAGAAAACCAATTAGAAATAAAAAAGTACCCGCATATGTGTGCAAGAACTCACATGCAAGGGGGAAGAAAAAAAATGGCAAAATTTCAAAGCTAAACAGAAATGCTCCAAGGGTCACAAAACCACTTCTCAGATACATCGATAGTCGAAAAAGTAGTGAACGGGGAACTTTGATGGTCATTTCAACCAAAATGCTCTAAATTTTTCTTTTGTCTTAACAACTTGCTTTTGGCCAAATCCTATGGTATCCTCTTTTGAGGTGGATTTCCTAGTCACATCAGTATTTTTATAGTGTCCAAATAAAAGTTAAAAGAAAACACAAGATCACAGAGAGAAACTTCCTTCCTGTCAGATGGTGATAAAATATAGTAACGGGTTATTAAGCAAAGTTGTTCAGTCAATAATGCATTCACTCTCTGTCCCTGAGAATTTTAATAATAAAAGAGTCATGTATTTGCCTAAAGGCAGCAGGCTGGACCAGATCATTATTGAGTGCCCCCTCTGATTCTTTGATTTTATATCTGAGCATCTCAAAGAGGAAATGCTCACCTTTAATTGAGCTCCTACGTGGATATAGTTGTAGGACGAAAGGGATTTCTGCAGGTGGAGAGAATGCAGTATCTGATCCGAACCTCCTTGGAGTAGCTGAAAAATAATTTAAAATAAATGGGCAAAATACATACTAAACCGAATGTACCAGATGTGTCTATCAATGGCAGTCTAGCTTTTATTCACTTTCTGGGCTTAATTTACTTAGGTCCTCCTGTTTCTGGCTTTGAAGTTTTGTTTGTTTGTTTTTACCTTGAAGGTAAATGGCTCCAGCAGTTATCAGTCCCAGAGAATGTTATATAATCATGAAGAAAATGACTTTAAAAGTCTCAGCTCTTTCACAACGTAACTGGCATAAAAAGTTCTTGCTTTTACTCTGGTCATTTGTAAAACAGGAGCCTAGGCTCTGTGCTGGTCACCTGCTTAGTAGCCTCACTATCCACACAGGACAGAGCTGTGTTTCAGAATTCACAAAAAAAGCAATACTGCCACGGAAGTGAGAGGTATCGGCAGACAGTCATATGCTGAATCACAATGGAAAAAAACAGCCTATCCTCATCAATATTGATATCTCAGGCAAAGAGGCCAACTGGACAACCGTCACAGTTTACACGTGGAAATCAATCTTATTCATTTATTATTTTATTTCATAAAAATCCAGCACAGTATTGTTTAATTCAGTCACCCACTTTATTTAGTAGCATTGGTTTATATTATGTTGGGCTGTAAAAAAATTATAATAATGTGTCTCAGACTCGTTTATTGAGTAGAAACACTTGCCAACAGGGGGGCTATTGTAAAAGATTTTGTTTTAGTCTCTAAAAGCATTCCCCAAAGACGTATTCATCATTTTTTCCCTAAGCAATCACAGCTCTGATGGGACAGAGAAGACAATTCTCTTGAATCATAAATCTGGTTATATTTTTTTAAGTAATCATATCACTTTATAGTCTCCATGAGCAAAATAAACTGAGTTTGTGTTCCCACCTCTGAAGCTCTCAAATAAGGGAACAAAAGCTTCAATGAAAAATAAAACAAAATTAATTTAACATAGTCAGGATTTCCCATTTCAAAAGCTTTTACAAGTCATTTAACTGTTATCTGCACTGCAAAGAAATGCAGGTGACGCTCAACCAGTCGCCTGGGTGGTGAACCACCTGGCAGCTCTTTCTAATAGTCACGCTAATCAAATCTCTGAAGGAGTATGTGGGGTAGGGTGTGTGTGTGCCCGCACACACGTGTGTAATGTGTCATGCGCCACAGGAGGCAAGGGAGGCCCAGGGCCGGTGAGAATGCCCACATGAAAACATCCACTTCCTGCACACCTGAGCAAACCATCAATTATTTGCACCGCGGCAGATTACTAACCTGATAGAAAGAGTGAAAGCTCCTTTCTCCTGGCTGCTGCACAATCACGCGAGACTAAGGAAAAAAAAAGTTAAAACTGTTACTCTGAGAATGTACCCCTAAAACAAAACAGCAGGCACCTTCTCAGGGAGTCCTGTATCAACAGTGCGTTTAAGTGCCCTGAAGACCCCATGGGTAGTACCCATGTAAAACAAGGTCTCCTGTAGGTGTTTTTTCCGGGCAATTTTTTTTGGTAATGGCTACAAACAAATAGAAACTAGAAGAAAATGAGATTTCAAATCAATTAGAATAAAAACACACGGGAGTACCAAATCAATACGCCGTGAACCTTCAACTTACACAATCTTCTGCGTCAATTATGTCTCGGTTAAAAAAAGAGGTGTGTGGGCGTGACTGTCTGAATGAACATGATAGCTCTTCTGTGATGCATTAAAAAGAAACAAATTAAAAAAAAACAACCCAAAATATAGGGGAGGTGGTGATGTGTAAAACGGGTAGAACTGATTGGTCCGAGATGGGCGTTTGGGTTAAAACGTACCCAGAAGTGGGCACACGCTCTCAGGCCGCTCCCAGTGCCTCTCACACGCGAACCTAAATCTTTATCTACAAAGTCTGTAACTTTGTTCAACTTGATATTGTCAGTGCTAATAAAACAACACAAAAGGAGAATGTCTTGTGACAGAAAGCTACCTGAGGCGCAGCGGGGGAGGAAGGATAGGAGTAAAAGCTACTTGGAAGCAATTAAAGAGATTCTATAATTAGGTCTGTAAAAAAACAACGTTCAGCACTTGTAAGCACAGTACCCCGAGGAATCAAGCACATTTTACCTTCTCCAATAAGTAGTTACTGATATGTCCACCGATAGGGTCCCCCTTGAAATCGAAGTTGATGTCCATGTATTTCCCGAACCTGCTCGAGTTGTCGTTACGGTTGGTTTTGGCATTTCCAAAAGCTTCCAAGACACAGTTGGACTTAAGGAGCATGTTCTTTACTCTTAAACACAGACAAACGAGAAAGCTATTATTAAGAGTTTTAAAGGCTGGGCCTTAAAAAAACAACCAGATTTCATGAAAAGGCATGCAAATATTTATACAAAGCAGCTCACTGCAGCACTGTTTGCTATACAGTGTGTACACACACACACGCACCCGAAATGTCCACCGATAGGGACGGATAAAAACAAATTTCTGTGTCCCAGTATAGTATGTGCTGACATAGAAAAATGTTCGGAATATGTTAATGAATGAGAAATTAAGTTGCAAAATAATACGTATTGCAGGATCTATGTGGGCGCACACTCACGCACCCACGTGAGCATGTGTGCGCTTGTGTACACGCGTCAGTAAATGCTTGAAAACCCGGAGGGAACAGCACACTTCACTATGGTTACCTCGGTCGATGTGGTAGGTGGGGTAGGATTTCAGGGAACATTCACCTTCAACATTAATTTTTAGTTTTTCTTTTAAATAAACACGTTTTATTGACATAAAGAAAAATCTTAAAATAGGATATGTTCTGAAAAGAAAGAGTGGGTGAAACAGAAAATTACACAGTTTCTAAACGCACTCGCTTATCACGCCTAGAACTGCGAAACCGCACTTAGTTATGTCTCGTCAATGTGGTAGTTTAGAAATTGCTAATCACTTTGTCTGAAGCTGTATGGCATTTCTCTTTTGTATCCGTTAATTCATTCTTTATATAATGACGCCTAACCTTCTATAGAGCAGTCTCTATATATTTTAAATTCGCCCTGCTCCTTATGTCTCTGTTTTTATTTCACCGACAGATTCCTTCTCAGATGCACCTACCTGCAGAAGTGACTTTAGCCCCGGAAATAACCCGATGTGGCAGATCCACCGTTGCTTCCGCTATTACTGTAAGTGACCCTTCGACCTCACCTCCTCTTAAATGAATGCGTACTTTTAAAATGTGGGGCAAGCTGCTTGCTTACAGCAAACAAAGGCAACTGTCTGTAACACTGTGGTAAGATACACGCTTGTGAGAGACTGGTTAATGCTTATAGGCCTTGCTCTACTACCCCAACGGGGTTTAGAAATAAAATTTAGTTCCTTAGCCAGTTTTATTCTCCTGAGCTCTTAAGGAAATTAAAAAAAACTTCCTCGTATTTTTGTCTTATCATATTGCAAAGTCAGAACGAGAAGTGGGAAGTGTGTTACAATGAACAAAAATACCTCTTTTGACCCGATCAGCCCAATGAGGGTGGGGAGAAAGCCCACATCGGGCGGCGCGTTTTAAATTATCTTCTTTCACACCAGCCCAGCATCCTTTCTTTCTACTCATACAACGGAAGGCGTGGATGTATATATAGAATGTCACTCTTCAGTGAATGCATATTGAGCTTCAAAGTAGCAACTCTGAAAAATTCCTTTTTTCTCTCCAAAAAACCCACACCACATAAGAAAGTTGAGTCATGCTGCTTTATAGCCACATTGCTTTCCTTTTTTTAAAACCCCATCTATCCCCGGCCAGTGTGGCTCAGTTGGTTGGGCGTCACCCCGTGCGCTGGAGGGTGGCCGGTTCGCTTCCCGGTTGGGGCATGTGCCCGGGTTGCCGGTTTGACGCCTGTCAGGGTATGTACAGGAGGCAACCGATAGACGTTTCTCCATCACATTGTCTCTCTCTCACCCTCCCTCTTCCTCTCTCTCTCTCAAAACAATAAGAACATATTTTTTTAAAAACAAACAAAATTAAAACACTCATCTATTCATTCCTCACACATTTATTAAGCAAACACTATGTGCCAATGACAGTGCCCACGAGCTTTACTGCTGACGGGGGGCAGCCTGGGGTGGCGGACACCCTTTTAGAAGATGAATCATGCTCAGACCTTCTGTAGCCAGGAGTTCGAGCTGTCACAGCGACGGCACAGAGCTGCCTCCCAGAGCCCCCTGCGCTCTCAGGAACTCAGGGCTCCTCAGAACATCGTTTTAAAGAGAGAGAAATAGAAAGAATAAGGACCGTGTGAGCCTCTGTACCATAAAACCTACCAGCGCTGAATGACGCCGTCTCTGCCGAGCACACCCTGTTAAGGAGGCAGTTACCAACTAGAAAGGGGACCCTTGCATCTGTTTCAGAATAATTTTATTGTTTTATCTTTATGTAGAGCTTACCACGGTAGTCAGCTTTTTTTCCCTACTGGAAGCAGATATAGAAATAGAGTGATATAAATAAAAGCAGAGTCAGCATGCAGCAAGAGAATCCGAGCAGGTTACCACCAATAAATGGCTGATGCCCACGAGAGTGTAGGTCCGGTCGGTTCTATGGAGACAGTAAAGCGCTGATGAGAACTCCGCCCGTCAGCAGGCCGCTCTTACCTTTCGATCTCGGCTCTCTGGCTGGGGTTGGTGATGGCCGCAATGTACTGCATGATGTACTTACTGGCTTCGGTCTTACCAGCTCCACTTTCCCCTGGGGGGAGATTGCACAAGGCTTCAGTAAGCTGATTTTTCATGGAATAATTTAAAATTGTGATGTTAGTTATTTATTTAAAATCCGTTATGTTTTTCAATGTTTGCTTCTTTTGAGTTATTTCGCCCCCATTCTGTCTCGATGTGGTCTTGGTTCTGACCATGTTGGAACAAATAAAACTACCGCAAGAGTGAAGTGACAAAGAGATTACAAATCAAGGTTTACTTTAGTAAAAGAATATCAAGAGATAAAATGTGACAAACGAATTCCTTAAAGTCCAGCAGAAGAAAGGTCAGTTAGTGATTCAAACAGCAGCCACAGCTAAATTAGTATAAGCTTATTTCCTATAGTCGTATTTCTTTTCATCTTGATGGGGAAAAAATAATTCTTTCGGAAAATGAAAATTAGAGCGATTTTGGTAAACAAACAAACAAACAAAAAACCAACAGCAAGCTTCAGACACATGGTGTCACAGAAAAATCAGGACAACTGGTAAAAGGGGGGAAGAAATCCATTTAGAATTATCTACCCCAATTTTTAAATGTTTTTACCTTCTGACCCAAAAACTGTACTTGTAGAAATTTATACTATGGAAATAATAAAATACTAATATAATAAAATCATCATCTTCATCATAGGTTTTTAAAGGCTTTCTGCAGACTACTACAGGTCTCCTAGATAAAAATCTGAAAATAACATGCCCATAAGTAGAGGACTGGCTAAATAATGATTCAAGGACTCAATAGAATACTATACAATTGATAGAGAATACACTACTTCTAGAGTACTCTAATGAAAAGACGCCCATTATATATTGTTAAATGAAAAAACAAGTTATGTAACAGCAGCTATAACATAATTCTATACTTGTGCACTTACGACATAATCATATATGCACGTGTGACTATATTTATTTGTACAGAGAAAATGTGTAAGGATAAACGCTCTATTGTTTACAGCTGTTACTACTGAAATTTGANCGTGTGACTATATTTATTTGTACAGAGAAAATGTGTAAGGATAAATGCTCTATTGTTTACAGCTGTTACCACTGAAATTTGGGGGGGGAGCAAGGTATTCAAAGGGAAGGGACTTTTTGTGTTTATTTAATACACTTACATAATTCTTTGGTTTTTTTCCCCCCCTTTTATAATCAGGCAATATTTCTTAACATAATTTGTTTTCACAAAATGTAGTCCTGGGCTATAATTCTCTAACTCTTAATACTAAGTCACTTAACTCTTCTGACCCTTAATATTCTCTCCTATAAAGTATCTACACAACTGCTTTACTTACCACTCAGGGTTGTCTTGGTAAGCAAAACGGAATAAAGATCATAAAAGTGTTTTTAAAAGTGTAAAGCCACTGCCCTGACTGGTGAGGCTCAGTCGCTGGCCGCTGTCTAGTGCACCAAAAGGCTGCCTGTTCGATTCCCGGTCAGCGCACATGCCCCGGATGTCGGCTCATCCCCAGCAGGGGGTGTGCAGGAGGCGGCCAACTCATGTTTTGCTCTCACATCAATGTTTCTCTCTCTTCCTTCCTCTCTCTCAAAAAAAAAAATTTTAAAAAAAAAAGTATAAAGCCAGTAATGCAAAATGTGAGGTGCTATTAGCACCAAAAAGAAGTTCCCACAGTTAGGGAACTGGGCAGTGGGCAGGTATTTTTCCTGTCCCCATTTTCTTGCACAAGATTCCCTGAAGGGTCCAGCTTTATATGGAAAGTTCTGCTCTACTTCTTGGGCCGACAGGGTCTGTCTCCCTTCAAGTCGGGTGCCCCCAGCTCTTCGAGCCCATTTCCGGGCCCCTTGCCAGTACGTCCCTCACCATCAGCTCCCATGCCCCACTCCGACTTAGAGTTCTCTCTCCGCTTTTGGTACTCAGAATCTCATTTTCTCAGTTTCATTCTGTCATTATCTAAAATAATTTTTGTTACAATTTATCCAGTACTTTTACGTGTTTGAGATGGAAGGAATTTCCGGGTCAGCTCAGTCTACAAAACTGACTAGAAGTCCGCCCAAATGTAACATGTATTTGTAAATGAACCAAGACTCCAGGGCGGTCAGGAATGATATAAATAATTTAGTGTGTTCATCACATTTTTTTGTCTTCTAAAAAATGCTTGAATTTCTAACTTCAAAAAAAGATCTAATCAAACATTTGGCTCCTTGAGTACCCAATGGGTTAAATACGCCNGTCAGCTCAGTCTACAAAACTGACTAGAAGTCCGCCCAAATGTAACATGTATTTGTAAATGAACCAAGACTCCAGGGCGGTCAGGAATGATATAAATAATTTAGTGTGTTCATCACATTTTTTTGTCTTCTAAAAAATGCTTGAGTTTCTAACTTCAAAAAAAGATCTAATCAAACATTTGGCTCCTTGAGTACCTAATGGGTTAAATACTCTGACCCTGGAAGTGCAGGGGACCCGCTCAAATACCTGATATCACGATGCAAGTGTCCTTGGACCGCCTCTTCATCGCCTTGTAGGCGGCGTCGGCAATGGCAAAGAGGTGCGGCGGCCTCTCGTACAGCTCGCGGCCTTTGTACTGCTCAATGGTCTCCCTCCCATAGATGTTCAGCGACTTGTAAGGGTTCACGGACACGACGACCTCTCCGATGAACGTGTAGATGCGCCCCTTTTCAAACCTGTACGGGAGCGAAGGGAAGAAATGGCTGAGGTCACACAGAAATGCCGTTGCTTTTCTGCGAGTCTCTTCTCTCCACGTCCCTTCAAACATCAGGCACGACGTCTGAGCTGGCATCCCTTGGCTCTGAGGTTATGTTGAGAGACGATGTTTGAGGCTGAGCTGAGAGGCTGCCGCTGGGAAGGGTCCGTAGGGGTTAGAAGTCCAGAAAGAAGAAAGACATTTAACTTTTTGGAAGCAAGGGATTTCCGATTTCCAAAATACAGAAGGGTAAGAAGGGGGAAAATAGTTGAAGGCAACCTAAGAGCTCGAGGGAGAAAAGAGACAGGAGTTAAAACAGGTCTTGCATCCACTTCGCCAGATTTTCCATGATACAGAAAAAGTCCCAATACATGTACTTCTTTTCCCTTTTGAAACCCCACTACAATGTCAGTAAAAGAATAAAAACAGTGAAATCCGTAACAGAGGGTGGGAAGAGGAGACGCTTCTGGTATAAATCAAATCCATTATTTAAACGACCGCCGAAGGCCCCACGGTGTAGATAGCTCACTATTTAACCCTCCCCTGTCCTTCCTGCTATTTTGAGTAACACTGTAGAAGATACTCTCGATACACAATCTTACAAATCCGTGCTTCCATCCCTGGGGCCTAGAGTGCCAGGGACGGAATGGCTGGTGGCAAGGGATATGCGCTTTCTAATGGGGAAACGCGGAAGACTACCTGCTGTGTCCTGCGTGGCCTTTTATACATACAATAGGGTGAGGTGGGAGAAGGCCATGTGGGCAGCTGGAAGGAAGCCATGGGAACAAAGGAAAAAAGTGTTAAAAAAAACCCCGCAAAACAAAAGCCCAGCATAGGTGATATGACTGCGATTGCACAAAATTGTGTGTCTGTATTTACAAAGAAAAAATTTTAAATTTAGACAGCCCATATGTATTCACTATTTACACACCAACTCACCCACGTCCACATGTGTGAACCAGAGCTAGGCCAGCACCCCAGCGGACAAGTGGTCGCCCCCATCACGCTCCACCCGCCGAGAGCCACGGCCACACACACAGGTGGCCTCCGAGCGCCCCATGGAGGGAGCGCCGAGACGGGGAAAACGCTGACACGGGCGGGAGCCGTGTCGCTGACACTCCCGCTGTGAGGCCGGTGAGGTCCTAAGCATTTGGGACCACAAGGCAAAAAAAAGAATCTTGAGCTTCCTTCACACTGGAATGAAGGCCGTGGCTATAATTAGGAGCGGAAACAGAGAGATGCTGATAGTGTCGACAATACATTAAAGCCAAGATTTTGATCAAGTGGCTGGTGTGTATTTAAGCAGGAGCTACGGACCACGTCAGGGCTGCCTGTGTGTTTCTCGGGGGGGTTCTCCCGCGCACCCTCCTGCTGTGGGCAGGTTCACGTGGCTCCTCCGCACCTGGGCCCGACCGCTGGCACTGGCACTGCGGGCTCAACAGCAGCGAGACCGTGTGAAAGCTGCTTCACCTCCATGGGGCTCAGCTTCCTCCCCCGCAAGGTGGTGTAATTACCCCCCTCTCTCCCCCGGCATTGCGTAAGTACTTTTTTAAAAAGAGGCAATTAATTTTATGTTGCCAATTACGTTCCGCAGGAAGGAGGTTTTTAACAAGTGCCTTTATTTTATTAACACCGCCACTTAAATCACAGCGATCCCTACACGTGGGGAGATAATTCGATGACCGTAACCTGCTTCCCTGCCTCAGCTGTCAATCAACTAGCGGCCAGTCACAGGCAAAAGGTGGACACCACCCACGTTCGAAGGCTCGCGGAAGGGACAGAGAGCTGGGGTTCACCACCCGGCCTTCCTGGCTTAACCTTCCAATTTGCACGGCATGCTCAACAGCTGTCTCTAAGGATAAAGCATGAAAAGGACAGGATTCATTACTTTTAAAAACACTGTCCAAACAGAAAAAAAAAAAAAAAAAGAAAGCAAAAGAGAAGGTTATTAGAAAAAAAATGACCTCATGAGTCTGGAACTTGGTGACTAAGAGGCTCAGCAAATAACACATGAGATTAGAATGTTCTAAGAGTCCAGGTCTGTCTAATCATGTACTTTCTCCAAAATTCCATTTTCTTCCACATCGAATTACTCTGTTCATCCAAAGTTCTAGGCACCGTGTTCATAAGACGAGTAAAATACACGAACAGAACGACCAAAGGCATAATTAATTATTAACCTGGCGAGGGTGGCAAAGGTTCATCCAAATACGATATTAAATACAATACTTCAGCAAGTTACAAAACGTTAGCAGCTTATCTCATTTGAAACTACGTCGGGTTATCCAAGATGAAACGTGAATGTGCTTCGGCTAAGATCCACCGCTAGATGGTGCCAGGACACCCACGAACACCAATCCGAGCGGTTCCCCGGCTTTGGAAGGCCTGAGGGCAAGGAGCAAGCGCTGAGGTCCTGCGGTCACCTGCTGGTTT